CATTCCATATACAAGTGGGTTCATTTTCATACGTACAAATAGATACGTATAACCCAGCCATCGAACTCCTTCATCAATATTTGTCACATTGCCAAGTGAAATCTCTGCATTCAAATTGTCAACCATTTTATCTATGAATTTGTAGTATTAACAAAAATAAATTAGAATCGTGATCTACCTAACATAATACAAGTTCAAGCTAAGATGAATTTACTTTGATTCAATAGGTTGTTTTTGTGTCATTGCAGATACGTAGTGTGATAGTTTGTCATGCGTTGTAAAAATATAGCCAACGCCATGTGTTTCATACTAATTGATTAGATGTAAAATATATATATATATATAATGAAAACGATTAAAAAAACAAAAAAAAGTAACAAAAAATAAAAACAAATCATTAAAATTAACAAACCTGTGAAACGACCTGCTCTACCAAAGATCTAAAATTGATAAATAATCAAATCTACCCTTTGAAAATCATATACTTGCATTCACATAATTATTACTGCATAAGTAAATGTGTACCCCAAGCTAATGTTGCAGTACAACACGAAAAATTTTTTTTAGTAATTTTACTATGATATAAATAGTTAATCACTATTTGGAAGGTAATAATATATACTGTATACCTTTATAAATCCTTCGGAAAACAAACGCTCTGTCATTGATTGATCAGCTTCTAACATGCCGGCATGATGAATACTAAGACCATATTGAAACAATTCTTTTAAATCTTTATTTCTTGATTCCATAACATCTTGCATTTCAAGACTATAACCTTTGAGAGTAGACACATCAAATAAATCTAATATTTTATTAATGTAAGTAAGACTTTTAAAGCTTGAAATGATTTTCTTTTTTAACAAGAAATTAAATTTGTTATTTCCTGAATGTCCATCATAGAATGCAAACTCATGTAGTACTTTTGCTGTTCTAACTGTATCTTCACGTAAATGAACAAAAACCATCATTTGATGTTTTTCTCTGACGAGATCCAAGACCTATAGAATGAATAAAAAAGGTTAAAAGTATTCAATGATATTTCAATAAAAATTACTCAAATTCTTTGTTAAAAATCTTACTTTCTTCCAGCAATTCATATTAAGTTTGTTATTAGAAATAATTGAATCGGGCTTACACTTGACACAAAAAAATGTTGTTCTAATGGAACAGGCTAAAACCACCGTCAAAATAAAATAATCCCTCGAAACCATTTTTAAGATCAGCTTTAATAGAATAAAGAAGTATATTTAAACTTATATAACATCGATTAAAACCTAATATATCATAAACATAAATACCCTAAAAATCGAGCTACATCGACATAATTGGGTATCGTAGCGGAAAGGCCTACAATACGGATTATTTTTTGACTTGATTTAATCTAGAATGAATTTTAATATCATTTACTAACCAAAAATCGTATGTGAACAAATAGATA